CAAAAAAACAGTTTATTTGCATTGACTAAGTGAAGAACTGTTCAAATTTTTGGAAAAACAGGTCCAAAGATTTTGGAGATATGGAGGAAAAAGTAAAAAAATGAGCCATTTGACGGTCAAAAATGAACATTAGACATATGCACATCAAATTATCAGATATTTTATAGAGATTTTAACAACAAGTATAAATTTTGTTTGCATTCCTATGGGTTCCGTACCAATGTTTACGCGTTAGACGGCGACGCGGCGCTTACGCGCTTTGATATTTCCTCTTTATGCAGTTAAAGCAGTACGATTGCTTTGAAAAAAAGTTCAGAATTTCCAAGATATTTCAAAATAAATGATTTAAGATAGAATGATTTAATATGGTTCGAAATTCTATTAAAAGTTTCAAATCATTGATCAACTTTTATTGATTATTATTATTGATTATATTTAATTACTCGAATTTTGAATTGCGGTACGGGAAGTTCCAGCAATTTGCCTTAGGCCACTTACAGCTAGTTGTTATTAACAAAGAAATGGCTTGACTGCTCATGGCGCAAAACTGCCAAGCGCTAGTTCTTATCGAGTTACATCGAAATAAAAAATTAAATTTGTAAAATTGCGCAGCTGTTTTTGAGAAAACATCGACAAAAGGTCATAAATCGGCCCACACATATAGACACACACATAGACACACACATAGACACACACATACACATACACATACTTTTAGCAAATTTGGGTCTCATTCGTTTCAGAATGTCTTAAAACGTCAAGAAAACCTAAGATTTGCAAATCGGATTTTTGGGCTACAACAAACTCCTCCTTCGGGAGTTTAATAAATCTTTCATCAAGATTTACATAATTTTTCGATAAAAGAAAGCCGTTGTAAATCAATTGTTATTTATTACATTAACCACATTTCAATCGCCCCCACTACTCATCAGCCTGCAACAAAAGCATCGGACGTATCTGTATGCTATCATGTCCGATCTGATTTTTAGTTTCCGTGCGACTCCTGAAGTCGTTCCTTCGCCGTTAAACGTTGTTTAACAACCGAGGCGGTCCGATCGCGAACGAAGAGTTGACCGCAGGCATCTAACTCCAACCGATACCGATACGCGGCAGCCGGCTACACGTCCAGCCCGTGGCGCGCGGCACTCGATAATGAAATCTCAATCAATGAATCGCCTTACCGGCTAACACGCGGAACGTGATCGATCGCGCTCATGTCGATTTTTGCCTAATCGCTTCAGTGATTTCTGATTGTTCGCGTATCTTCCGTTGAGATAAATAAAGTATTGATTAATAGTTTTGTGATTTTTTATATAGTTTGTTTAGTGCTTTTTATACCTACTTATATATTTAAATGTATGTGTGGCTAGATAATTAAATAGTGAGTTTAGTGCAAAACTTATTTATTTAATAATGTATAATTTTATATTTTTTCTAAAAACGTTATATTAAATAGCTAAGAATTTTATATACCTTTACAGCACGAGTTTCAAATATTTATTTTTACTATATTATGTTGAGTTAAATATCCAGAGCTTAACTAGTGTGAAATTTTGAAAAAATCGATTTTTGTTTTTTTTTCACATTTCGGTGGATTACACTTTTAAAAATAACATATTAAAATTTCAAATCGATATCTCAAATAGTTTTTGAGTTACAGCCATTTCAAAAGTATACATATAGTATATAGTACAACGATCATTTTATCTTTAAACGCGTTTTACTCGAAACAGCATTTTCCGAATTTGCTGCAGTGATTACTCAAAAACGAATGATCCGATCACCATCAATTTTTTTTACATGTTCTGTATATAGTTCTCTGTAAAATGTACTATCGATTTTTTGATCGGATCAAAATTCTAAATTTGGCAGTCGAAAAACGACCAAAGTTTTGGGTAAAATTCGACTTTTATTTTAAAAACGCCGCCATTTTGTCAATTTTTGATTTATTTTTTTTATCGTAGTTCATTTTACAGACAATATTATCTAGTTTATCGAGATTTTTTTTTATTTAAAATATTTTTATTTAAAAAATATTTAATTTTTTTTTTCAAAAATTTTACTATATATTCTTAAAACATGTATAAATATATTTCTAAAATTTTGAAATGATTGATGAAGTAGGTTTTTTAATATAAATTCCCAAAAATCACCTTTTTTTTAGGTTACACTAGTTGTGCCCCTTAATATCATTATTACTATTATTTTGTTATATGGTTATTTCTACACCTGTTCTGAGCTGGACAAATGTAAATCTGTAGGGAAAAAAGATTGACATAAAAATCCCAAGAATGCTTAAATGAATAATCCTTTTTATGGAACAAATCAAACAATGAACATTTTAAAAACAAAACAATTTTATTTGCCTATGCGTATTTTTTTTTCAAGTGTGCAATTTCGGATAGATAAGGATAGGGCGCGATAAAAAGGTTCCATTTGAATTTGAACAACTATATTGTGAAAACCAAAACGTACTAGTTGGTATTGGTATTTAGCCTCGAGGCAAGTTACGTGAACTTCCCGATATGTGTAAATAATCGACTTAATCAATAATAAACAAATTAATTTATGAGTGATTAGAAGTATTCCGAGAGGATTTATTACACATAATTGAAAAGTTCATTAGGGCCAAGAAATCTATCGTTATACCAAGAATATCATCTAATTTTAATTTTAACAAACGTCAATAAAACTACTCATTTTCTCAAACTTTGATGAATTTTTAAAATTAAACTACTTGTCGTAAGGCCGTAATATTTCAGTAAATTCTATAAGACCATGATATACATCGCCAAAGAAAGTTTCATAAAAATCGGCTTAAATTTTTTTTCCACAGTTAATTACAAGAAAATGGCTCGGTAGATTTTCACCTAAAACTAATCAGTATTGTTCCCAAATAATATCTTTCGATGAGTTTTTGATTTTTTAAAATCGATTTGATAGAATGAGCTTAAATGTGGACAAAAAGTTTAACACTCTTTTTCAAATTACAAAGAAACGGTTCGGCAAATCGTCTCACAAAACTGACAAACGATAGCCCTCATCGAGATATATCGAATGGCTTTTAAATTTTTTTAATCGGTCCAGCCGTTTTTGAGAAAGCGTCGATTTACGGCAAAAAATCTGTTCACATACACGCACACACACACATACTTTTTTCCAAATTTGGGCTCATTGGATTCAGAATGGCTTGAAACGCCGAGAAAACATAAAATTAGCGAATCGGATTTTTTTATGAAAACATAAACTTCTCCTTCGGGAAGTTAATAACACAGATCAAACTGACAACTAACTGACCATGTTCAGCTTCCAGCTAATTACATTCCATTATCACAGAAATGTATTTTTTGCTGTTTTTCGAAAATTCGGTTTTGAACCTTTTTACCCGAGCATCCTACTGGATGCAATTAAGAATAGTTTCATTTAGTTAGATTAGATTTTTGGAAATTTTCTATTCCGTATTTTCTTTTTTTGATTTAAGAGTTTTAATTTTATTAGCAAGTATTAGCAAAAATTTAATTTCAAACTATTCTTTTCAAAAATTTGTAGTCCGGGACAAATAACCTGAACTCGGGACAAGGTGCAAATCCGCGATAATAAATATATATCGTTGCAATATTAAAGCCTATTAATATTACATTTGTTACCTAAATAAATTATTGGTACCCATTACTTGTTTGTTAAAATTTTAATACTCTATTTACGGTAAATTAAATACCTCACAGCTATATATTTTCATGCCAATGTTTATAAATTAGATATTATGAACAATGAATTAATTCTTTAAGTTATAATATTGCAAAATTTATATCATATTTCCACTATTGTTTTATTTGGTATAAGGAGTGCCCGTTGATAGCTTAATCTTAACATGATATTAAGCTCGTATAAACAATATGGCACAAAAACATAACAAGGAACAGCATTATAAAACAATGATTATCATGATGATTATACATCATATATCATACATCGTGTTAAATTTATGAAATTTAATGAAATTCTAATCTGCAAGTAAAATTGTGGAAATTAGTTTCCATAAAGGTTTGCCAGCTTTCATTTGATCGTTTGTTTTTCTAATTTTTAAATCACTAAAAGCATTAATATTTCTGTACAATTTGCTTTTTATATTATCACGACATGCGCGTTCGCTTACTTTGTAGTAAATATAGAATCACTTTGTCATATATACTCTCCTTAATGGAATAACTTATAATATTGACATACCTGGGTATTGAATCATACTGAATTATTGCGATAATTATTATAAATAATTTTACAAACCAAATATTATACATTTATCTCAATATTGCATATAATCGAAATGTTTATGAATTGTGATGCATGTGTGTAATGCATTATGATAGAGCTGATTTGAATTACTTATATCTGACTTTGTTATTAAATTTCAATTATGCAGTTGATGATTTTATAAATTTTTCTAAAATTATCTAATCTTTCTTTCCGTTGAATATAATCTCTTCAGCAAATAGTTCAATATTGTGCTAACTGCAATTAGTAGCACGAGGACTTTCAAATAAGCCGCATGGTCTTTAAATATATTGGCTAATTGTTATTTCTACACCTGGTTTATAGGTAATATAAAGCAGTTTGAAAAGTAGTGCAAAATAAATTACTAAAAATAAATATTTTCTTTCTGGAACATTTTTCTGAATCAAGCGGAATCTTCGATAGCTTTGAAACTCTTGGTAATAAAGTTCCATTTGAAGTGCTGTCGATAACGTCAGGAAAAAGAAACTTGTGCTGATGACGGACTAAAAAACATAGTTTGTTGACAAACGAGTCAGTTGTGTTTGCGTAACACTTTAACGAACAGATTCAAACGTACATACGTCCAATGAGGTCGTAATTACATTGAATGTGCGTTACTTTATTTACACGAAATTCTCTGACACGGTTTCAATGATTTCGCTGCTGCCTAGGATGATGACACGAGGTGGTCCACGTTTCTATTTATTTCTGTTCCTCCTTCAGGGCGCCTTGCAGAAGTTAAAACTGCATGGGACGGCTTCCATGGCCGAGGTGCAATGCCAAGAAGTTTTTGGGGTATGTATTAAAATATAAGACGTCATTGTTATGAATAAGTTTATAAATTTATTCATTTAATGTTTACTGAGATTTATAATTGAAAATTTGAAATATCTTCAATTCAAATCGATTCCTGCATTTAGGTTCTATATTTTAGTATAATTAATCTAAAATAATATTTGTAAGAGTAATAATGAAAAGATCCATTAACAATAAATAATTGAAGATGGCTGCTCCTGAATATTACGTTATTTTACTAATAATATTACTAAAATGTTCATATTCCTATATGAAATATTTCCAAAAACAGATAATTCTAACAGTTGAGTGAACAAATATATGTATTTTGAAACAAATATATTTTAAACGTGAAGATACAAATGAATTTTGAATTTTTTACTTGTGAAGTTGACATATCCTTATAATTCATTCAAGTTTCTTGATATTAAATTTTATATTTTAATTTAATTAGTTTATTTGTATTTAAATAATTTAGAAGAGTAAATATTACTGAAAATATTTTTTACGAATTTTAATTAATACAATTAATAATTAAAGATGGCTGTTCTTGAATATTACTACTGTTAAATTATCATTATGATCATTAAGCTTTACTAAAATGATTATGTTCCATATAAAATGTTTTGCAAAAAATATATAATATTCGCTGTTGAGTGAAGATTTCAATTTAAGAAACAATTATGTTTTGGTTTTTTCACAAGCCTATTAGGCGGAGATGGAGAGAATTAAACATTATTCTTAAGAAGTTGACACACCCTTGTTATTCAGTCAAGTTTCGTGATACTAAATTCTATATTTTAATTTAATTATTCAAAAAAATTATTCGTAAGAATAAATATCACTGAAAATATTTTTACCAAGTATAGAATAAAGACAATTAATAATTGGAGATGGCTCTGTCTTAATATTCTATACTACACAAGATCTTCAAACTTTGGTAAAATGTTCGTTTCCATATAAGATGTTAAACAAAAAACAGATAATATTTGCTGTTGAGTGAAGATTTCAATTTAATCACATATATTTGGAATTTGCTACAAGGCGGTCATTAAGCAATTATACATTAAATATATGAGTTGACAAATCACGAACATTAAATATTTACTTCTACTTTATAATTTTTAGTGTTCCGTCACAGTTGTTTATTTGAATAATTTCTATCGATTATTTTTGCTTTATTTTACTATATTTGTTAGTTATATTTTTCAAAGCTTTACTATTTTTGGAGATTTCTATCAACTTATTTTTTAATTAATAAGCAACATTATTAAAGTTTGATTCACGTTAAATTAATGAATGAATGCAATTAATGCATGTTATGATTTTACAATTATCTTCTTCATGGTTTAATTGATTCAAATTTATTACAGTAGTTCTAGAAATGTAATTGACTTTTACGGTTTCATAGTTAAAATGAATAAAACTAATAAAAATTAACCACAAAAACCGAAAAATTTTTAACGGTCATATTTTAACCAAAGCCCTAGGTTGCACTTAAAAGATCATAATTTGCAAACAACGTGAGATAATTTTTGTTTCTAGTTTTTTAGAGCAGTTAAGATCAAAACTATTACCCCGTTTTTGCTTCACGTTAGGTTTTGGCACACCCTGTGTAAATATCATGATCAATATTTTTTTATCTATGTAAATTTGATTTTTAACTTCCCGAAGGAGAAGTTTATGTTTTACAGATGCATTTACTACGTTTTTAGTGCATTATCGAAAATGTTAATATCTACTAAATAATTTATTTTAAATTGTAGGTAATTTAGATAATTGGTTCTGATATATAATCAGTTTCAACGAAATAAATCAGAAACGAATTAGTATTTTTGTTTGTACATGTTTTTTGTCGAGATACTAATTTGACCTACTGCCGGTAATCACACGAATGTATGTAACATATATTCTATTTGATTATTATGTCAGCCTACAACTCAAAATAATAATTGTTGTTAATGCGTTTTAAATGTTGCTTAACAATTGTATGCTACTTATCAATCAAAAACTATTTTTAGTTCATATTGTTCATAAAATTATGTATATGTTTATTAACCTAATGCAACTTGAAAATGAATACGCTATTTGCGTATTCTAAGCCAGTATTTTTCGTAGATCATGAGTTTTAAATTTTGCAAATTATAATGGAGTTTCAATGCGAAAAAATAGCAATTTTTTCTAATAGCACTACGATTACTTATTTTTACTAAATACGATATTTATGAAAAAATCCAGAAAAATGTAGTATATAAACAGACATGACATCATACGTGATTATGCGCTAATATTGGCGTTAAATATTATCCGAATGGTTTCATTTTTTAAAAATTATCTTATTTAAAAATTAAATGAGACCCGATATTAATGGTATTCTTTACTAATGTACTTTCTAAGATAGTTTGATTTCTTTCAATGCTCATGACCTAATCAATATTTGCCAAAAATTAAACTGCATAATTTCCAAATATTGTGCTTCAAGCAGATTTAAAATTCTTAAAACTGGTTCAGGAATTTTTGTGAAAAAGTTCACGATTTTTTTTAACTAACTGTAATTTACAAAGAAACAGATCGACGGATCATTTATAATCGGTAGGAAGAAACGTCTAATAAGTCAAAAACATTCATGCATTCAAATTCCTTTTTGTCAAACAATTCAGAATATTCTATAACACCACAAGAAATGGGAAAATAACAACAGCAGATTTTTCTACAAAACTTTTCTTCGAGAAGCTATAATAAAAAAAAATCTTGAAACTGAGGTGCGCGTGAAATAATATCAAAATATTCCAAATTGTTCTAAAGCTTCCATTTGTAGCTGTGTGTATTAATTCAGTTAGCAATTGGTTACTACCAAAATTATATATATATATATATATATATATATATAAATAAATTTATACATATGGGATGAAGGGTAAGGGAATCATTTATTTGTGGTGGCTTTTACATCATGGACTTGCCTGCAGGCAGACTAGCATTTATTTATTTATTATACTAGCTGATCCGGCAAACATTGTTTTGCCGTGTAAAATGTTTAGTATGAAAATAACTAATTGATTGTAAATGTGGTGCATGAGGGAATGGAGCTAACAACAAATATATGAATAGTTTACCAACAGCAAAACACGTCACATATGAATGTTTCTTAATAGTCTTTGCAAGTGTTGCCCTGCTGAAAATGATTATATTTAAATGAATTGGCACATTCAAAATTTTGATATATTATTATTACGCTTTTTATTCATTTTTAAATTACATTTTTATTTTTTTATTTAAATGGCATACCCATTTGACTGAGATTGAAAAGAGTTGAGATAGTGTGAAATTTCACAGCTTTGCCATAGATTTGTATGGCACCTATAGCTCCTACTCAAAAACTGTTGTACCTCCAGATTTTAGTATTCAATCTTTCAATTTCTTTGCAAAAATTGCCCTTTATGCAAACCATTTATCGCTATGTACTGTTTGTGCACATCGGGAAATATGAGTTAAATAGGAAAATGGGAGGGCGGACAATCCTTGATAAAATTAAATTGTTTTTTCTTAAGAAAACCTAATGCCTTGTCATAAAATCAGAAAAGTATCAAATAAAATTCAGTAAATAACACTCAGTGAAAGCGTGGTGAAAATTTATTCGATTACTAAAATGGCTATTATGAAATAGAGATTTGTGGAAGGAAAATGAAAATTTAGAGTTGTGTGCATATATTAATAATTAAGAGGGAACAACCCTTAATGAAAATAGTTTTTTGAAGTAAAAAGAATTGCGTGTATTTTTCAATTCCGCATTATAAAAATACAATAAAAAATTGACCGTGTAATTGATGTGTTAGGGTTGGACAACCCTTACTAAAAATAAATTGTTTTTAAAGTAACATTTAATTATTTTCATATACTTAAAAGTTCTTAACTAAAATTATGTCAAATAAAGATTAAATCAAAATTAAAAACAAATTTACTCCAAATTTTAAAAAATAGGGGTGGACAACCTTTGATATTAATAAATAGTTTTTCAAAGTAGAGTTTTATGTATTTTTTTACATACATTACATTTCAAATTATAGAAAATTAAAATAAAAAAGAATGGCAAGAGAATTTAAAAACAAATGTTAGCAGTGGACAATCCTCGATAAAAGTTGACCCCAAAATTAAATAAGTATTAGAATTGGTCAATCTTTAATAATAATAAATTGTATTTTAAAGTAATATTAAAGTTTTTCTACTAAAACTAAAATTTTGTCAAAAATATTCGAGGACTGAACTCGGATAAAAAATGAGTGAATTGTTAAAAAGGCTATAAAAAATAGGGGTTGGTGATAAAAAGTAAAAAAATTAGGTTGTATGTATTTTTTAATGCCACATTTTCGAAAAATTAAAAACTAGATAGTTACCGATTCTCAGACCTATTGAATACGAATATAAAATTTGGTATTTGGTAAAAGTAAATTTTGGTATTTGGTACACGAAAATTATAAATACTATACACACAAATATATATGTACTATATATATTTGTGTGTGTCATGAAAAATACATTAATTTAGAGTTTCATATTACATACCTATGTTTGTTTGCATTTGGGCAAACACGATACTCATATATAATTTAGTTTTCGCAGAATCATTATCATCATTAATCAATCAATTACAATTTAGAGTAGTGATGATTTTACACTAATGCAGAAAATAATTAAGATAAATGTGTGAATCAAGTCAATGCCTTAATATTGAAGCAGATTTCTTAGTTCATTCAACTTTACCCTCTACTGCAATATTTATACCCAGCATTATTATATGTAAATGATAAAAAAATATCCAGTTCCAGGAAATAATTATTTTTTGGTTCTATTATTGATTCAAATGTATCATCGATGTAGTGATGATCGACTTTCTGAAATTAGTTTTTCTTTCTTGGTGAATGTCATGTTTGCCTTCTGGCCAAATTGTATGCGAACACGTCTTCATTAAACATCATGCTGAGCTGGATATCATAATTAAA